AGAAAATCTTAAACAATTGATGAGAAGAAAAATAATTTAAAAAAAATCAGAGGCACAAGCAGGATTAATAGGTACTTTAATGAAGTCTTTGAATCAACTTTAAGAAATAACTCCTATACATATAAATATAATTTTCCTTTGAGAGTTTATATTAAACTCAAATCTGGTACATGGAGATTACTGATTAAACTGAAATTATTATTATTATTTTTTAAAGATTTTATTTATTTGACAGAGAGAGACACAGCGAGAGAGGGAACACAAGCAGGGGGAGTGGGAGAGGGAGAAGCAGGCCTCCTGCGGAGCAGGGAGTCCGATGCGGGGCCTGACCCCAGGACCCTAGGATCACGACCTGAGCCGAAGGCAGACGCCTAATGACTGAGCCACCCAGGCGCCCCTAAACTGAAATTATTAACATCCCCAATCTTGGAGATGTTAATATAATAATAATTATATAATAATAAATATAATTTATTTATAAATTATATAAAAGCATATAATATAATAATAATTGTTATATAATAATAAATATAATTTATTTATAAGTTATATAAAAGCATATAATAATAAAATATGCTGAGACCATATTTATTCATTTCCTTCATATTAACATCAAAAGCAAGCAAATGTATAAAGGTTTTTCTATGTCATTTGTTCTGACAATGCATCTCACAATGGTTTTTGTGGTTTGGTAAAGAAATAGATGCAGAAATATATTTGTGAAATAAAAAAATAGCCTAAGTTGTGCTTATGAAAAGACTATTAAGGCATGGTTATCTCTGAGCACCCAAATTATGGATTATTATGGATTATTTCCATTTTCTTCTTACCTCCTTTCTATATTTTATAACAATCCTGAATACCTTATAATAATCCTGAATTACCTTTGCAATCAGAAAAAGGGTTTCTTTTTTTAAAAAAATTGTTACATGAAAGTTATGTATCTATAAATATAGCATAGTAAACCTGATCTATTTTAATCTGCTTGCACTTTCTATATGACATCCAGTAGTTCTCTTTCCCTCAGTGGCTGAAGTTTGCAGACTTTATTTACAAGCTGGGACCCAGTGACTTGTATTGTGATCACATTGGTCCCCATCTGTCTCCAAAATGACAAAGCAAGGTCCATTGAGCACAACCTGACAAGCAATGTTTTAAATGTCATTACTAAAACAACTATGCAGGCTTTTCATCAGACTTCTACAGAACCACAAAGAAAGGTCAAAGCAAAGAGAAGCTGACTGTTAGAAAAACTCCAGCCTCTTACACCTCTCATAGCCACAGTCACATGGTATGAAGCAAATATTTTTATGTTACACAGAGAAAATTTGAAACTGCAACTTTGGTGTGCAATGGGATATGCAAAGAGAGACAGAGAGAGAAGAGGGTTTCTTCATGATGATTAACGTTTTCGTGCAAAGGGTTTGAGATCCTTGGATGAAAGTTGTTAAGCAAATACTGCATAACATGCACATTGTACAACAGCGTGTCATAATTATAGTTTGTTTTCAACCATCTGAAGCCTTTCTGTGTTTTCTGGTTTTAGCTTCTAAGCCTTATGAATTATTTCTGACTCATCAGCCTTTCACCCTAGGGGCAACTCCCAAGCTCCATAAAAATATGGATATTTTTCTTAAATCTCTTTTCTGGCAAATGCATTTGTTTTTATCCTCAGAATGTAAATTCCCACGATGAAAAGCGACTAAGTAATACTTCTCTCCCTCTCTTATATCTTCCTTTCTCTAAAAATGTCCATTTGTAATTAAAAGCACATATCTGAAGATCAGTTCTTCCTTACAATTGGGGACCTGAAGCTGAGGAGACAGTTGGGAGCAGGATGGTATGAAAGCTACTACTAGGTCAGAGTGCCCAACCTCTGGTCAGCCAAACTGACACTTTGGGCTGGATAATTCTTTATTGTGAAAGGCTGCCCTGTGCATTGTAGGATGTTCAACAATATCGCTGGCCTCTACACAATAGATGCCAGTAGGGCAGAGCTCCAACTCCCCAGACGTGGTCACCAAAAGTATGTCCAAGATATTACCAAATATCTCCCAGCAGACAAAATCAGTCCCAATTGAGAACCACTGCACTGGGCCAAAACCCCTACAAAACCAAATCCTTTGAGCTTTTTCCAATTCAAAGTGCTCCTTTGACCTCAGAAGTCAACCTCTACCTACCTAGCTACCTACCAACATAAAATACAGACGCTCAAACACCTTCACACTTTTCATGTCAAAGCCCTTGAACATTGTCTAGAGTTTTTCCTCTGAGCCTTATGTGACTAATTTGGCTAGGAGAAGAGAAGCACTGGTAACTTTCCCATCCTTCACTGACATGGGTGTTCATGCTTTTAATGTTCATGGTGTTTTTAAGTGACATGGGTGTTCATGTCACTTTTAATGTTCATGGTGTCTTGACTACTGAAGCTGTAAATGTCTGCAGATTGTTTTTTTAATCTGCTAGTCACACTGCAACCCCATGCTCCCCCATGAATATTGTTTCAACCATAATTTTATTTAATTATGTTTATTTTGCCTTGTAATTCTCTCATTTGGTCCTTAAATATGCAATTATGATTTAGGCTCAATATGTTTATTTCCTGAAATTATCCTAGATTAGAATGGGTTAATTAAAACCGAAGAAGGGATTTATAGAATTAAAAAAAGCACTTCCTAATTCATTCCACAACAAAGCAACACATAGTACTCATATAAACTGTATTTTTATGCCTCTTAGTATATTCAAGGGATGTTTATTCTCCCTACTTCAAGTTATCTGATGCTTGAAGCACCAAGGAAAAGGGACAGAGGGAGTGATTTCCTCTATGGAAGAAACATTAATAAATTCTTCTCTTTGGAAAACTCTTGACAAGTGGATTTACCATTACTAGATTCATAATCGTGAGTAAGCACCTTAGTCTCTGCTGGCCTGTTTCATTTTTAGTAAAATGAGAATGATGATACCTACCCTCCAGGGCATGTTGAATGAGATCATCTATTTTAAGCTTTTAAAGATTTATTTATTTATTTATTTATTTATTTATTTATTTATGCATTTATGCATTTATGCATTTACGCATTTATTTGACAGAGAGACACAGGGAGAGAGGCAACACAAGCAGGGGTAGTGGGAGAGGGAGAAGCAGGCTTCCCACCGAGCAGGGAGCCCGATGCAGGGCTCGATCCCAGGACCCTGGGACCATGACCCAAGCCAAAGGCAGACTGAGTCACCCAGGCGCCCCTGTTTTAAGCTTTTAGCCCTGTGCCTGACATACAGGTGTTTTATTAATGTCATTTCTGTGCTACTTCCCTCCTTTGTTCCTAGCACCAGCTAAGTAATTTATGAGATTCAGTGCAAAATAAAAAATGAGTGCTCCCTTGCTCAAAAATTAAGAATTTCAAGATGACCACAGCAAAACATTAAACCAAGTGAGGGGCCCTTCCAAGAGAGGGGCTTTCTTTGTTACTGCATCAGCTGTACACTCATAGAGCCAGCCTTGCTTGCTCCCCTAGGGTTTTCAAGTTCCGTTTGTCTATTCTTTTAAATTAAAAGCCCCTCTTCAATTTGACAATTGACAGGGAAATAAATGTAACTAGCCAAATAGGGCTTGACTGTGTGTGTTGTTTTTCAATGCTTGCTCACTTTTACTCAAGCTGTTGAATGTTAGTGGGCCTCGAGCTGTTATAAAGGAGCTATTAATCTGCCATGGCATTTCAGGCGTTTGTATCATTCTCAAAATGGAGGAATTAAAAAAAAATACCTTAGTTGTCTATAAGAAATTGGACCCTTGATGATAGCCCAAGAGGCACTTAGTGTCCAAAGAAGCCACTTAGTTGAAAAGCTCTTTATCCAGAGTTATCAAATAGCATTCACAAAGAAAGCAGCATAGCTCTAAATATTTTAGATCCTAGCCTGGAGACTTTTAGAGACCTGGTCCAGATGTCTAAGAATAAAATACCCAAAGAGGAAGACTTGGTCTCCAAACTGTGCCCCAGTTCTGCAGGTTATTCCTTCTTTAAGGATGCAGCAGCATGTCCTATAAAGGGTTTGTCAAGGTTTTCGCATCCTACTTGTAAGAACAGATTCCTGTAAAAAGGCAAAATATACGTGTGACTGTGTATAAATACATAGATACACCGAGAAATGTCCAAATTTCCTCTATTGGAACACACACACATACAGGCACACAAGCATCTTAACAGAAGGCAAAGAGAATTAACATTTACTGAGCACCTTCTATGTGCCAAGTGTTTTACGTAAATGAGAATACTAAAGTATATGTTAGTTCTCATTCTTTCAATCTCAGGACACTGAAAACAACTCCCTCCCCGCCCCCCACCCCCGTGTCGAAACTGAACCTCAGAGCAGTTTTGCAACCTGCCCAAAGTCATACAGTTAGCAAGTTGGAGGGTCTGGACTGGAAATTTTATCTGATTCCAAAACGCATATATCACATCCCTCTTGACCTTAGATGATTAAGAATTCAGGGGTCTAATCTGTCAGTGTCTTTTAATCAAACAACAAATGAAATGCAACATATTTTAACATACTTGCTAATCATATTAGTTTACATGGCCGCCTTGCTTTTACCGTAATTCCCACTCTTTCTCCCACCCTCCATCACCATAAATCGTTCAGTGTCTAAGGGTTACCAATTTCGCTAACAGTTATCGGGAGAACAGGCTGGCCTCTTTGTAAAGATAAAAAGTTAAAATTTGTGGTCTGGGACTAACTCCAAAGACCTAAAAAAAAAGAGAAGAAGAAAAAGAAAGCTGTTTGGGACTCCAGTCCCTCACTTCCGGCCTTGACAGGGCGAGAATGAACCCTAGCACGTGGGACCAGAGGATTCCTCGCAGGCGCGACCCTCCGAGCAACTGCCTGGTCGGCCCGGACTGCGCAGGCGTGAAGGCCGAAGCGGCTGGGGGCGGTCGGCTCGCGGTTTCCCTGGAGACCGGGCGGAAGCGGCCGGAAGCTGCGCTGCGGTTGGCCGCGGCGGAATGGAGCAGCTGGGGGTGGAGCCCGCGGAGGAAGCTGGCCGCGACGAGGAAGAGGACGCGGCTCAGGCCATGGACCGGGTGGAGGCGGGGGAGGCAGACCGCTCGCCCGGTGCGCCCGGGCCTGAGGAGCCCGGCGGCCTCACTTGGTGTAAATGAGAAGGGCGGGGCGGGCGGAGGCCAGGGGCGGCGGCGGCCATCGGGGTGCGACTGTCCCCGCCTCGCTCTGTTCTTTCGTTTTCCCGGCTTGGTAGAGAGAGCTGGCCTCCGCTACCGGGTGTTTTATGGCCAAGATCCCGAAAGGGTTGGCTTTGCTTAATAGGACTAGGGTGGGCGTGTCGGTTATGATAGTCGAAGGTGCATTTGTGATCCCCCAAACCGTCCGGTGAAGGCGGAAGAGGCGCCTGGGTGGTGTAAGGTTGCAGAAGTAGAGAACCTTGTCGCCCACTTGGCAGAGGTTGGGACTCATGCTGGGCTCGCAACCGGACGAGGCACATCTGCAGTGGCCGCCTCTCCGTGACCCTGTTCCAGCCCCTGGGCTCTACCTTGTACCGCCCAAACCCAGGGCCTGGGGCCAAGGCTCCAATTCCGGGCCACCCCTTCCCCCTTTAACTTGTAAATTTTGGAATAATTTTAGACTTACAGAAGTTGCAGAAACGCCTTTCCCTAATATTAATGCCTTCTATGATTGTAGTACATATGTCGAAACTGAGAAGTGAACACTGGCATAATGCTATTTTTTTTAAAAGATTTTATTTATTTAAGAGAGAGAGAATGAGAGAGGGGAGGGTCAGAGGGAGAAGCAGACTCCCTGCCGAGCAGGGAGCCCGATGCGGGACTCGATTCCGGGACTCCAGGATCATGACCCGAGCCGAAGGCAGTCGCTCAACCAACTGAGCCACCCAGGCGCCCTGGCATAATGCTATTAACTAAAGTAAAAACGTTATTCAGATTTTACCAGTATTTTCCATTAAAATTTTTGTTCCAGTATCCAGACCAGAATACCACATTGCATTTATCCTTCCTTGTTTTTGACTGGTTATGAGCTGGAATCTCCTCTTATCCCCCTTCCCTCCCCACCCCTGACGAGCTACTTTTTTAAAATTCAAGAAATATTTACTCATTCTTCTAATTTAGTGAGTATTTATTGGTAGTCTGTTATATACCAGGCACTCTTCTAGGTATTTGGGATTCAGTACAGAACTAGATAATCCTTTTCTTATATGGGCACTAAATACAGTCCACTGGGACCCACAGGTCTGGCTTCTGCCCTTTTGTGTTTACGATTATTATTATTTTTTTTTTAATTTAAGAACATGCCACTTAGAATAATTTTTAGTTGGTTGAAATCAGTGTTTAAACTTTCCTACCCCTTATGATTTAATCTAAATGTTGTTAGAAACTTCCAAGTGATAGGATTACCTTTTGCATCTTCCATTATTGATCAAGATTTTTTGCCTCAAAGTTATTGCTAGCCTGAGAACAATAGAGTGCACAAAGAAATACTAAGTAAACAGGACTGAAGACCCTACTGTAGATGAGTTTGTCTCATGTCTATAATTTTTAGATGCCTTGACACATGAATCCAGGAAAAAAAAATCTACATTCTTCTTTCTCAGTTACCATATTTTAAGGAACTGCCAATTGCTCAGAGATGATAAGCAGCCTGAATGTATTTTTCTGTTTCTTTGCATATTTTGCATTGGTTCATGGTCAAGTGGTTCCAGAAGGAAGTTCTTCATCCAGAGTCATAGTACATGTGGATCTGGATTGCTTTTATGCACAAGTAGAAATGATTTCAAATCCGGAACTGAAGGGCAAACCTTTAGGTAATTTTGGACATTAATAATAATTTTCATTTTGTATAAGAGTATTAGCTATTTCTTTATGTTGATTATATTCTGATTTATTAACCATATTTAAGATTTTGGAAGCAGTTCTCAAGGTACTTTATAGACAGTAAACTTTGCTTCACTACCAGGTGTAAAACTTATAAGCCTTGTTTAATAAATGGTGAATTTTATACAACTAGTATAGCCAGCGAACACACGAACGGAAAGTCCATAATAAACTTTTAATCTTGTTCTCAGTGGTTGAAATTTTATAATCCTCTTATCTCAAAAAAAAGTCATTACATTCTAATGGACGTTTTCATCTGTCCTCTCCACTTTTGAAATTAACTCTTGGATTGTGTAACATATGATAAAAAGGTTGGATTTTGAATAGACCCCTAAATACTTAAGGCATATTGAGTGTAAGTTTTCCATAAATAATAAGTATGTTTTTAAATAAAAGGCAAAGAGAAATTTTATGTTGAAGATTTACTTACTAATATGTTGGCTTATTTTAACATTTTTATTATATGTATATCTTAAATTGGAAAAGTCATTTAAATTTCCAAATTTTCTTTTATGCATGTAGTAAGAGTTCATCTTTTAGTATAAGCATAAAGAGCAACTCTGGTTCACCTGCTGCTACCCTCTTGTGCCTCATTTGGTTTTGATAAATCCCAGTTCAACCCAGTCTAGTTGATTTACTGAAGAACAAAGGGATGACTAGTTTTTGGTATGCCCAAATCAGTCTAGGATCTTTAGATTTCCCATGGGTGTCAAGGAGTTAGGATTAGAGGATATAAGTTTTCTCCTAAAGGCATTTGTAATTAGTAGCACTATAACACAAGATGCTATGTAGATAATGCTCAATAAAAAAGTATTGTAAATTAAGACACAGGGATGAATGATTATCTGGAAGTGAGAAATGTGATGTTGAAAGTTTCTGGGAGAAAGCAGAAGTAGTCTTTCAGTTATGCTTAACAAATGTGTGACTGTTTAAGTTGGGCTGGTGACATATAATGGTGAGTCCATATAATTTAAATCTGTATTAAAAGACTGCTTTTTTAGTTGAGGAAGTTACCAATCCTATTTTCTATATAGTTCACTGATTAATCTAAATTACGACTTTTGACCTAGAGATTCTATTTTGGGGCATAATCTGATATATCACAAATCTTTATGTGAAATAACATTACTTTGCCCTGTTTATAATATCAACATTTTAGAAACCTATGTCTTACATTGGTGGAATGGACATAACCCTTTTTTTTCTTCTATATGTTTGTATTTTACATTTAGATGACCATTACTTTTATATGATAAGTGGTCAACTTGTGTAAAGAGAAAATTAATTTCAGCAATCTTAAGCCACCACTAGTAAGCTAGAGTTTTCAGTCCGCAGATGATCATAATTTAATCATTTTTGAGAAGGAGGGGGCTCACTAATGATGGCTGACTAATATTTTCTACAAATTACTGTGAAGAACAGTTCAATAACATTTATCGGGGGGAGATCTTTAATAATAACTATAGGTTAGCACTTGTAACAGAACATTGCTTTATATTTATTGGAAAGTTTTTCTAGCAGAAACCAGTAATTAATTGTACTCAGTTATTTTCATCTGCTTTATTTTTCTGGTGAAACATGGCCTAGACTTTATACAGAGAGAGTTAATTCAATATAAATTAATCTGGTTTGTATTGTCTGAAAAAAAATCCTAGAAGTATTTTTTCACTGAAGACTCCAGAGAATATACTGATTTATAATAATTTTTGTTAAATTTCATAGAACCTTGATGAATGGAGGCTATGCTTTTTTTTTTTTTTAAAGATTTTATTTATTTATTTGACAGAGAGAGACACAGTGAGAGAGGGAACACAAGCAGGGGGAGTGGGAGAGGGAGAAGCAGGCTTCCCACAGAGCAGGGAACCCGATGCAGGGATCATGACCTGAGCCGAAGGCAGACGCTTAATGACGGAGCCACCCAGGCGCCCTTGGAGGCTATGCTTTTCAAATGAATAGAGCTTTTTATTCTTAATCAAGATAGATTGCATTACAATTTACAATTATAATATGGAATTAGTAAATTTTATTTTAAAATGTTTCTTTAATCTTTCTCACTTTTCTCATAAAATATTTGCTATTTTATAGGAGTTCAGCAGAAATATTTGGTGGTTACCTGTAACTATGAAGCTAGGAAACTTGGAGTTAAGAAACTTATGAATGTCAGAGATGCAAAAGAAAAATGTCCACAGCTGGTATTAGTTAATGGAGAAGATTTGACTCGTTACAGAGAGATGTCATATAAGGTTACAGGTACAGATCATGGACAATATACTTTCAGCATTAATTTGTATATAGGATGCTCATTTACTACATGAAACTTTTAATTAGTAAAATGCCATAAATCACACCCTTTTTGCTAATAACTTTTATTTTGGATCTTGCCTGCTTTTAAAAACATCTTATATAAGAGGATGGCTTTATATGAGTAATGTTGACCAAAAAAACGTATAGTTGGAAGAAATTTGAAGTCTCTTGTGACTGGTGTTTATATGTGAGAAAAATGTGTTAAATGTGAGAAAAAATGTAAACAAGATTTGGAAGCAAGAAAATGGAAAGATATACAAAAAATAAATGCAAGAAAGTAAACGATTTTTTTATTTTATTTTAAATTTAAACAAGTTTAAATGAATTATGAGGAAATATCTGTACTCTGATGCACTAGTAGTTGGGAGAGGCTTCTGTAATGTTTGATTAACATAATTAAAAACTAGATTTGTTAAGAACTATCAGCAGAAATAATGGTTATATTAAATTTTTCTTGGATTGTGTATGTGTGTGTGTGTATATATATATATATACACACACACACAGACTAAATATTATAGTATAGATAAACTCTTCCCTATTAAGGTTTGGGTTTGAATCTTAGAGTTTTAGTAAATTACAGGAAAAATGAAAACACATTTGTACTGGTATATTGCAAATATATATAATATAAAAAAGTATAAGAATCAAAAAATCAACTGTTTATCTTTTCTGCTTTGTTTTTGCTTCTTTTTTAATTGTAGCAGTTTTCAGATGAAAGTGTTAAATATAATACCCAAAGCCCTTACAAGTTTACAAGAAAAAGATACTTAAGAAAAATGGATGAAAGATATGAATAGGCAGTTGACAAAAAGAACAAACCCAGTGTCCACAATTATGTGGAAAAAGAATACTCAAATTAATCAGTAGCTAAGGAAATTTGAATTAGTGAGATATTATTTTATGTCCATCATACTTGCAAAAAATAATGTGAAAGTAGGAACAAAATATTATACATTTACAAAAAGTGATATAGAAACATTTTTTGAAATTAGAGATACATACTATATTTTTTAACCCTGTGATACTACTGCTGGGAATTTATTCAATAGGAATAAAATCATGAGAACATATGTACAAAAATATTTCTTGTGGCATGGTTCATAATTGATAAAAATATGAAATAAAAACAAGTGCTCATCAGGATGAGAATGGCTAAATAAGACTTCTCTATGATGGAATATTATATAGCCATTAAAAAGAATGCATTGGTGCTAGACTGTTTGACTCAGAGAGGTATGCCTTGTTGAGTAAAAGGCAAGATGCAAAAACATGTCATATTGTTCCATATGTGTAAAACAATGGCCCAAACCCCTCCCTTTACACATATATATATGCCTGTATATAAATAGGAAGGGAAACATGAAAGGATGTATACTAGGTTTTTAACATTAATTAACTTCTAGAGAGAGCATGGTGAAATGGGAGAAGGGAGAAGAAGGGGTAGCCAAGCAAAGATAAGACTATACTCTGAAAATATCACTTGTGCATCCATGCAAAATTGTATGTGTCTGAATATTAAGAAGTTAATCTTTACACAGAAGAGGTTATACATACAGTTGTGCCTCTTGGTGATCTCTCATATCCTTCATACTAGCTCTTCCTCATTCTTTTTAATGCCTGCATAGTACTACATTGTATTTTGTTCCATACTCATTTAACCAGTCCTTTAGTGATATGAAGACAGTGTGTCCCACTTTATTCCTATTATCCCTACATAATTATTAAAGCACTTCTTTTCATTCAAAAAATGTCTTATGTTGGATGATAAATACATGGTTTCCTGATAGTGATAGATTAATTTGGCTATTACTTACTTTTTGCTCTTCCAAATGTATGCTTCAATAGACATTTTCATATAGAAATTTTGGCATACTTTTATGAAAATATCCATGACATAAGTTCTTAGAGCTTAATTTCTAGGTCAAAGTGACTTTTCTTTTTGATTTAGTAATAATTGGAAGTTTGTGGGGTTTGGTTTGTTTTTTTTTTAAGATTTTATTTATTTATTTGACAGAGAGAGACACAGCGAGAGAGGGAACACAAGCAGGGGGAGTGAGAGAGGGAGAAGCAGGCTTCCTGCCGAGCAGGGAGCCCGATGCAGGGCTCGATCCCAGGACCCTGGGATCATGACCTGAGCCGAAGGCAGACGCTTAATGACTGAGGCACCCAGGTGCCCCAATAATTGGAAGTTCTGTTTATATTTTTGAGAGAGAGAGAGCACATGCACGCAGTAGTGGGGGGAACGGCAGAGGGAGAGGCAGACTAGACTCCCTGTTGAATGTGGAGCCTGACGCTGGATCCCAGGACCCTGAGATCATGACCTGAGCCAGAGTCAGATGCTTAATCCACTGAGCCACCCAGATGCCCGGAAGTTTTACATTTTATTTGTTTTGTCTTTTTAAGACTTGTGGAAAATACAAGTAGAGTGTATTATTACTTGTCTCTGCTTTTCTAGGCTGATTGTAATTTACTCTTTGGAACCACTGTTTCAAAATCATAATGAACTATAAGCATTGATATATAATGTACTACAGGTATAGAAATTATAGGTATAGGAGATTGAGCTAAATACATTGCTATGAGCATCTGTCCAGGGAATGTCATTTTGGACTTATTTTGTTGGAAAATATTGCCTTTACTCAAAATGTGGTATAGGAAAAAAATCCAGTTAATGGGGGACTTTATTAAAGATATTGTGGAACTGTGAATATATGTAAAGCCTTTAACATATGTGACGTATTTTTCAGCATAAAATAGTTAAATCCACTTTAGTTATGACTTTAGTTAACATCTGTGCGCCAATATTATTTCAATTTAGAGTTGTTGGAAGAATTTAGTCCAGTTGTTGAGAGACTTGGATTTGATGAAAATTTTGTGGATCTAACAGGAATGGTTGAGAAGAGACTACAGCAGCTTCAAAGTGATGAACTTTCAGCACTGACTGTGTCGGGTCATGTGTATAATAATCAGTGTAAGTGTATTCTTGCTCTATTTAGTAACTCAAAGTACCAACATTTTTTAATGTTCACTGAATTCAATGAGTTCAACGAGTTGACTTTATCTTTCTGAAAATTTTATGGCTTTTGTTGGAGGCCATATTTCAGTGACCTGTCTCAAATGACTAAAATTAGGTATTGCTGTTCCATATTAAGTAGGCAGAAAGTGAGATTTTGATGACATGTGTAGCTCAGTGCTCCATGCACTTTTCATTTCTCTGACATAGTTTGTGTGTTACCATTTTTGAGAGCCATACTTCCTTAGGTCATCCTTTAGTTATAAGAGTTGCCTTAATAATATACTTTTTAGAATAATTTTTGCTTCTCCCAAAGCTGTCTTTAAGCAAAATTTTGAGGTAAACTAAATTTGTCCTTTGTTGCATCTTTTGCTTGTTCCTTTCTCTTCCCCCAGGCATCAAACACTCATGTTGCTGAGTTCCTGAGTTACCCTCTGTGGAAGCTTGTCCAGGCCTACCTGCCATCTTTTGCAAACTCATATTCAGTCAGTTTGATAATCTTTGCCAACTATTAGCAAGAAAACAGAATGGTCCATCTCCTTCACATATTAAAATATAAATGACTGATGGAATTTCCAGAGATATTTGCTTTTGAAAATAAGCTTCAATAAGCCCCAGTGAATATTTTTTAGACTTTAAAACCTCTTGTAACTCTGCTGGTGACTTCCATATCATACCACATGGAAGACATGCTAGTCTGCTTTTGTATAAGATTTGCCCCGACCTTCTTGGCCTAGGTCTCAGCATATGTGTCCTCTTAGCCCCCTTTTTTGAGAGCTGGTGATCGATCTCCAGTCTAGTTCTCTGCCATCCTGATGCTAAAGAAGAAAAGGGGTAGAGCTACAGTTCTCTTCTAGAAGAGGACACGAAGCTTTTCATGTGTCCTTTGGATCTGCTCTTTTGTCACTTATAGGGACTGAATAGAAGAAGGTTCTGTTTATAATTTTTAAAGCAAATTCAGTATTTGTTAGAACATAATACAGAGATCTAGGTTTTATATTCTAAAAAGAAAATGTCTGATTCTTCATGAATCCTTCCTCACAAGATAATGTTAAAAAAATTTTTCAAACCTACAAAAAAGTTGAGTAGTACAGTGAGAACACTTATTATGCCCTCCCTTGTAGATACACCCATTGTTATTTTCCTACATTTACTTTATCTTGCTTCCTCTTGATTGATTGGTTGGTTGATGAGCCATTTAAAAGTAATTTGCAGACATCATGACACTTCATCTGTAAATACTCCTGAGGATAAGGACAGTCTCATATAATTCTTTTTTTTTTTTAAAGATTTTTATTTATTTGTCAGAGAGAGAGAGCACAAGCAGGGGGAACAGCAGAGGGAGAGGGAGAAGCAGGCTCCTCACTGAGCAAGGAGCCCAATGGGGAACTCGATCCCAGGACCCTGGGATCATGACCTGAGCCGAAGGCAGACACTTGACTGAGCCACCCAGGCGTCCCAAGTCTCATATAATTCTAATACCATTTTCACCCCTAAGAAAATTTGTTTCTGTATAATTTCCCTACACTTTTTATAGAAGATCTCTTAAACTATGTACAGACTCAGAATTATTTACAGTAGCACATATAACTAGTGTGTATAAAGTTTAGATTCAGATCTTTAAAGCTGTAATGTTAGCTCTGTTATTAGCGTAATACTTCTACTTTTATGCTTGCTTACAGTTAAACACAAGTAAAAGTTTTACTAGTGTCAGTAGGAATTTTTTTTATGAGACATCAGTTTTCATAATCTGTTAATCATTAAGCACTCCCAGGATGCATTTACTATCACAGGCACTTGGAATTCACTTTTGGAAGTTATTTACTTTACAGGATTCCTATGAAGAATGAGAGAGATGAGTTAAATGGGTGACAGTATGGTGGGGGGGGGGTTGGATATAGGTTAAGTCCTGTGCCCTTTTTATTATTTATTTATTTATTTAAAGATTTTTATTTATTTGACAGAAAGAGAGTGAGAAAGGGAACACAAGCAGTGGGAGTGGCCGAGGGAGAAGCAGGCCTCCCGATGTGGGGCTCGATCCCAGGACCCTGGGATCATGACCCGAGCCGAAGGCAGACGCGTAACGACTGAGCCACCCAGGCACCCCAGCCCTGTGCCCTTTTTAAACTCATTTATAAAAAAGAAAATTAAAATTTTTGTGGTGACTTAATGATATTGGCTGTTTTTATAGATATAAACCTGCATGACATCGTGCACATCAGACTACTTGTTGGATCTCAAATTGCAGCAGAGATGCGGGAAGCCATGTATAATCAACTGGGTCTCACTGGCTGTGCTGGAGTGGCTTCTAATAAATTACTGGCAAAATTAGTTTCTGGTATTTTTAAACCAAATCAGCAAACAGTGTTATTACCTGAAAGTTCTCAAGTTCTCATTCAGAGCTTGAGCCATGTAAAGGAAATGCCTGGTAAGACGTTTATAGTTGAAAAATATACATTAGTTTTATTGTATTTCTTTAATTTTAAAAATTATAGATACATGTTATTAATTCTTAGAGTCTGTATACTTGGCTCTTGGAGAAAACCCAAAATCCTAATGTTCTCTAGAGGGAATCTGGATTAGGAAATCTATGAAAGTACTTTCCTAGTTTCACCTACTTTCTGTATAGTTTGACTATGATCGTGAAAGTTATAACCTGGAATCATAGTCCTTTATTTCCAATCCCTGCTTCCATATTCTTAACACCATACACTGCACCTCGAGAGGGGCATTGGCCTTTTATTTACTCTACTTTGGGATTATATAGAAAATATTAGGGCTACAGGGGACCTTCCACAGCAGTTAGGCCAAATTCTTATTTTAAAGATGAGGAAACTACTTTTCTTGAGGGGATTAGTGACCTATTCAGGTCATGGGGCAAATTTCTATCTTTGAAGATCAAATACGATTTTATAGACCATTAATAAGGGATATGTTAAACTTCATTTCTATGGCATTGCTGGGGAATAAGATGTTAGAATTCTGTGGAAGTGAAGTTCTAAGGCAACTGAACCTTTAGATGTCATAACTTCGTATTTTTAACCCATATTTGTGTGATTACAAAATGTTTTTGCCCTCGTTAATGTAGTATAAGTGTAACTTGAAATTTTCTGCATGACTCTCAGTCTGTGTTCTGAAGACAGTTACTATGTCAGGTTGTAATATAACATTATTACTTGGCTTTACTTTTTGAGTTTGTTTGTTTATTTACAGGTTTTCTCTTTTCTTATTGCCAAATTGGCAGCTCTCTTTTATTTCAGCTGTGAAAATAACTGACACAATACTTTAAAAATTTCTCTCCACGGAGTACCTGGGTGGCTCAGTCGGTTAAGCCGCCGACTCTTGATTTCAGCTCAGGTCATGAATTCAGGGTCATGAGATCGAGCCCAGTATGGGGCTCCCTGCTCCGCATGGAGTCTGCTTGAGATTTTCTCTCCCTCTCCTCCTGCCCCTCCCGCTGGTGCTCTTTTTCTCTCTCAAATCAATCAATCTTTTTTTTAAGATTTTATTTATTTATTTGACAGAGAGAGTGAGACAGTGAGTACAAGCAGGGGGAATGGCAGGCAGGGGAGAAGCAGGCTTCTCGCCGAGTGAGGAGCCCGATGCAGGGCTCGATCCTAGGACCCCGGGATCATGACCTGAGCCGAAGGCAGACGCTTAACCGAATGAGCCACCCAGGTGCCCCAATAAATAAATCTTAAAAAAAAAAACATTTCTCCTCCCCATCCATTGCCTTTGATTTACTTCTTTTACTATACAGGAAGATCAAAATACTGTAAAATTAAATTTTTTTTAAATGAGAGAAATAAAGGGGCACTAAATTACCTGATCATCTCAGGTAAGGTGATAAAGTATGACTGAGTTTTAGTGCAAGAACTTTTGATAGTTTTGTTAATGAGTAGGTTTTTTTGTTTGTTTGCTTTCTGGTTCTTATATTTGGGATAGTAAATATTGCCAAATATGACTTGTGGATAAATGTGTGATATATGTAGGAGTCAGGTTAGCTGATTAGCACATGCTAATTAATTTTGTTGCTATAGTGACAGTCTTTCTTTGCATGAATAATAACCCTTATTCTTGAATACTTCCAGAGTATTATGTAACAGGTGGTAAACATTTCATTTTATCAAGACAGCATTTATTGGTTGTCTCCATATTCATTATGTTGTCTAGGGTTGTGAGGTTTTCAAAGTGGTTCATTTAAGAGGCCCTGAGCAGAAGGACAGCCTAATTTTCAATAAAATTTAGTCCTAGCAAAATATTCATCATGGAATTTAAGGATGTTTTTGGTATATCTCTATAATATTTTAATTAGCTTTAAGGAGAAAAACTACTGTAACACTGTATTTCTTTTTGTCTAGGTATTGGCTATAAAACTGCCAAACGTCTTGAAGCGCTGGGTATCAGTAGTGTGCTTGATCTTCAAACCTTTTCACCCAAAATATTAGAAAAGGAGTTAGGAATTTCAGTTGCTCAGCGTATCCAGAAACTCAGTTTTGGAGAAGATAACTCACCTGTGACGCCCTCAGGACCACCTCAGGTACATGATAATGATATTTATTTTAATTGAGTACTGTTTGTCACTATTTGAGATAAAGATTTCTGGTTTTAGTATGTTCTTACTATTCTAATTTGCTTACTAGGTTAGTATATGATCTCTTTCCTATGAGAAGGCAAATTTATTAAGTTAGTAAATTTTTTTTTTTTAAGATTTTATTTATTTGACAGAGGGATAGAGAGAGCCCAAGTAGGCAGAGCAGCAGGCAGAGGGATAGGGAGAAGCAGGCTCTCCACTGAGCAGGGAGCCTGACGTGGGGCTCGGATCCCAGGACTCTGGGATCATGACTTGAGCTGAAGGCAGCTGCTTAACCATCTGAGCCACCAGGTGCCCCAGGTTAGTAAATTTTTTTTAAGTAGGCTCCATGCTGGAGCTTGAACTCATGATTCTGAGATCAAGACCTGAGCTGAAATCAAGAGTTGGATGCTGGGGTGCGTAGAATAAAGCTTGGAGTTGGTACTAGAACTTTATAGTTTTGCCTTTCTAGTGGAGTACAATAACTTGCAGATAAAAAAGAGTTAATATAAAAGTGAACTAAACGGCTCAAATTAAGCATGAGAGGGAAGTTAGTAAAGAATGTTTGAATATTTGGCATGCACACTCATAACTGGATATGCTTGTTTGGGTTTACAATAATACCTATTTGTGCTTCTTTGGTAGTCCTTTAGTGAGGAAGATTCATTTAAAAAATGTTCATCAGAAGTCGAAGCTAAAAATAAGATTGAAGAACTACTTGCCAGTCTTTTGAACAGGTGATTTTCCATTTTGCCATATCATTCTATACTGTATAAAATCTATGGAAAGTATAGTTGATGTTCTGTCTTGGAACTTACAGACTAACTGGAGACTGAACAGTGTAAAGAGAGATCATTTATCATTGAATTTCTCTACATTATAAACTATTGCAAAGATAGTAACAGGTGCTCTTAACTAAATTTAATTCATTTGTTCCCATTAGTCTTAATTTTGGTAACATTGTGGTTATACTGTGGTTCTTAAGCTGCTCATAGTTACCTAAGAGGGTGTTAAGGATATCTAGAATCTCTACACCTGTAAATTTGTGATGATTGAGGATAGGAAATTATGAAGACACCAGTGATGGAGAAAGTAGAAGAACCTCATTATCTCCTTTGCCTCAGACTATGTAAAAGAAAATGGACTCAGACAAAGGAATAGCTCAGTGGGGCTGTGTGTGAGCAGTCAGAGTGTGGTGTGTGCAGGGCACTGGTCTGTAAGTACATGAACACGTTAGCTGGGATTATGAGTGTATGAATAGCATAGCATAAACTGAGCAAGATGTTTAGTTTTCTGATGCTCCTTTACTATCCTATATCTATTTCTCAGTGTTCCATAGAAGAGTATTATCTCTTTTCCTCCCATTTCTTTGATTACTCAAAATAAGGTGTCAGGGGTCTAACAGTTTTGAGTAGCTGTACTTCTGTAAATGAGCGTAAGATGGCTATGACTAGAGAAAAAGATTTTTAGATGACTAAGTCTCAGTAAACCGATGAGGTAAAATTTCCTACAGCTTTGCTCTCACATGCTTTGTGGTTCTCATGTCTTGAGCAGAGCCGTGCTGCTCATCGTTTGCTGTGTGCAACGGGGGCTTGCTGAATGACCCAGCTCCAGTGATGTAACTCAGGCTGGGCCTGTGAGTGTGCTTCTGAAACTGGGTCATCTGCTCTGCTTCAGCTAAATGTGAGACTACTATGAAATGCCTGGCCATTTGGAAAGAGTTCTGCATGCAGAGAAACCACAATTTCATAGACTCTTATATTTGAAGCATCAACCCAGAAATGAGGCTAGGTGCTCTAAACCTGTAAATGACCAACTATGAACCATTTATCCTTCTCTCTGCTTTCCATTCCCTTTCTACACCATGGCCCCTTATTTCAGTGACTGAGGTATAATACCATCAAAGTGACTGGCAAAAAAAATGATTGTGTTTGTGTGAATGTGTTTTCCCTCTAGTTTAAGCTTGCTTAGAATAGAACCTTTTCCTAATATGTCTTAATTAGTTATAGGAACCAAGTAATACTCTTTAAATTGTATAATGACTTAATAGAAAAAGGTTAACTGGAAGATATTTAAACTAATAACATGTTTACAGGAACCACGTAAGATATTATCTTAGTAAGGCAGCAATCAAGACGTTTTGTGATAAAGCAATAAAGAAAAAAATCATTTATAAAAACCTAAATTTTCCAGTTCAAAATCTTCAATATGTTTAACAATGTACAATATTTTTATTTTGTGTTTGTGATTTTTTAATGCATTGCCATACATATAAAAAACAAAATATTACTTTAATGACATTTATTCTAGTAATTAGATTTTCTGCTTTTTAAGTGAATTTTCTATCTTGTTAAAACTTTTGTTTTCAACACTGAAACCAAGACCATTTGAATGGAACACTTTTTAAGATGCCTGTACATGTACTACTTAAATATAGTATATAATTGATCATTCAAGCTATTACTCTTATTTGCCATATAATGGTGATATTACTGTTCTTTAGGTCTATTCAGGGAGTGCTTGTTGACAAAAGTTACCTCATTTAAAATTTTTTTTTCTTTTTTTAATCTTTTTTTTTCCTGTGTAAAAAGAATCTGTCATTTTTCATGTTTTTGCCTCTGTCGGTGAATGAGTCCCTTAGTTTCTTTAATTTCCTGCCGATTTTATATGTTGCTTTTAGTTATGTTTGGACTTGGATTATAAAATGACTTGTTATAATTATATCTTATTTCTGTTCTTTTCCTGATTGCACTCAATTCTGAATTTTACCTGAGACCTTACATTTAAGATTTTAGCACTTTGGTGCATAGATGTGGTGAAATTTCTTTGGGCTATTCAGAGACTTTTATTGCTTACTGCCTAGTCATCAACCATATTTGTAATTGTTACGGTTACTAAATCTGATACCTCTATAGATAAAAAAAAATCTCTCCTTTCTCTTTCCTTTTAGAGTATGCCAAGATGGAAGGAAGCCACATACAATCAGATTAATAATCCGTCGGTATTCATCTGAGAATCACTGTAGCCGTGAGAGTCGTCAGTGCCCTATTCCATCTCATGTGATTCAGAAGTTAGGGACAGGTATGGGCTAATTTTCTAATAATTTAATTGGCAGTTTGAACTCTTTTTTTTTAATTTTTAAGATTTTATTTATTTATTTGGGAGAGAGAAAGAGTGAGAGAGAGCATGAGAGGGGAGAGGGTCAGAGGGAGAAGCAGACTCCCCGCTGAGCTGGGAGCCCGATAGGGGACTTGATCCTGGGACTCCAGGATCATGACCTGAGCCAGAGGCAGTGGCCTAACCAACTGAGCCACCCAGGTGCCTGGCAGGTTGAACTCTTAAAAAAACAAACTTTGAATTAGAAATATGATCCAAAGATGGAGGATCTTCACAGGGAGTTAGTGAGCTATTAAATACCTTCATTCTATCAGGAATTTTTACAGGAAAACTTTGTTGTTGTTTAATAGAGAATGTATTTTATGGCACAAGATAACTTCTCTATGGGCATTTAGATTGTTTCCATTTTTTGGCTATTATGAAAAATGGTGCTATGAATATTTGTATGCAAGTCATTGGGCAGATATATGTTTTTGTTTATCTTGGGTGGATTACAAAGAGTGGAATTGTTGGGTTATATGGTAAGTTGAACTTTAAGAAACTACCAAACTTTTTCCCAAAGTGAGTATAACCATTTACATTCTTACCAAGAATGTATGAGGGCTTTCATATTTTCTTTCACACTTAGTATTGTCAGTTTACTTTATTATAGTCATTCTTGTGGCCTTGCAGTGGTATTTCATTGTGTTTTGTGTTTTTTTTTTCTCTTTTATGGATAATGCTTTTGGTGTGGTGTCTTATTTAAAAATTCTTTGCCTAACTCAAAGGTCACAGATATTTCCTCCTGTGTTTTCTTTTAGAAATTTATAGTTTTAAACTTTACACTTGATCTAATTTGAGTAAATTTTTGTGTATGGTGTAAGATAAGAGGCTTAGTTCATTCTTTTGTATGTGGATATCCAGTTGTTCCAACAGAATTTGTTAAACAGATTATTCTTTCTTGAATTGTCGTGGCACCTTTGTCAAAAACTAATTTGACTCTAAAGAAGTTTACTTCTTGATTTTCTTATTTCATTGATTTATGTGGTTATCCTTATATCAGTTCCACCCTATCTGATACTTTGTTGTAAGTTTTGAAATTAAATAGTGTAAGTTCTCCAGCTTTGTTCTATTTTGAATTTGTTTTGGCTATTCATTGTCCTGGGCTTTTGTTTATAGGAAGATTTTAAAATAGGAATTTGATTTTTTATTTATTGTAAGTTTATTCAAATTTTCTATTTATTTTGAATCAGTTTTGGTAACTTTTATCTTCTAGGAATGTATCCATTTCATTCAAGTTGTCTAGTTTGTTGGCATGAAGTTGTCAATATTGCCTTATTATCTTTCTAATTTTTGTAGGATCTATAGTGATGTCTCCTCTTTCATTCCTGATTTTGGTAATGCATGTATTCTCGTTTTTTCTTTATCATTCTAGCAAAGGTTTATCTGAGTGAGGCCTCACTCAAAGGTTTTATTGATCTTTTTCTAAGATCCAACTTTTGGTGTCATTGATTTTTCTGTTGTTTTTCTACTTTCTATTTCATTTATTTCTGCTCTGTCTTTAATTTATTTCTGCTTGCTTTAGTTTAATTTGTCCTTTTCCCTCTGATTTGTTAAGATGGAAGCTTATATTATTTGTTTTATACTTAACTTATTTTCTAATAATTCAAGTTTAAAGTGATACATTTCCTTTTTTTGGTGCTTTAGCTGCATTCCGTAACATTTGTTGTTATTTCCTTTTCATTAAGGTCAAAATCGTTTCTAATATCCCTTGTGATTTCTTCTTTGACCCCTAAGCTCATTTAGAAATTTGTTGTTTAATTTCCAAATATTTGATGATTTCCCAAATTTCATTCTGTTGTTGATTTCTACTTTAATTTCATGTTGATCAGAGAACATATTTTGAGTAATTTCAGGCTGTCTAGATTTATTGAGTGTAATTTTATTGCCTAGCATATGGTCTATCCTGGAAAATGCACCAGTTATGTTTGAAAAGAAAAGTTGAGCATCACTATCACACCATTCTACCTAACTAAAATTTATGGAAGACTCCAATATAGCATTTTTGAATGGCACTTTGTTTGGATATAGAATTCTTAACTGTAGGGGCACCTGGGTGGCTCTGTCATTAAGCGTCTGCCTTCGGCTCAGGTCACGATCCCAGGGTCCTGGGATTGAGCCCCGCATTGGGCTCCCTGCTCCGCAGGAAGCCTACTTCTCCCTCTCCCACTCCCCCTGCTTGTGTTCCCTCTCTTGCTGTGTCTCTCTCTGTCAAAAAAATAAAATCTTAAAAAAAAAAAAAAGAAATCTTGACTGTTTTTCTTTCCCTACTTTAAATATACCATTCTGTTGTCTTCTGGTTTCCATTATTTATGATGAGGAGTCAGCTCTTAATAGTTTTATCAGTCTCCTTCCAATCAGGAGAGAATAACCACACAAAAATTTAAATAGAGAAAGTTCCACAGAATTATTAAACCATGTTAGAGGAGTGACTATAAAAGTATAAAGAGGACTCTTAAGGGGTACCCAAGGGCTGAGGAAAAGCACCCAAGGAAGGACAAACTTAGAAAGGAGAGTCCGTCTACCCCTTAAGGAGAAGGTGTGGTTGTAGAACAGTGGGTGGTGGAGAAATCCTTTGAATTACCTGGCCCAGAGCTGGTCCATAGTTATTGGACAAAGAGAAAAGCCATCCTCTGATCTGTGGGTGAGCTGAGGCTGGTTGGTGGGCACACAGAAGGAGTTGGGATGTTGGGAGCTTGCTCATTGTTGAGGCAGTGCATGGGTTGGAGCATGCAGTGTTCGTATTGGGAAGACTTCTGTTAACAACCCTTTAGGATGCAGGTAAGCTGAGGCTGGTGGATGGTTGTGCTGAAGATATCTGTATTCTGCTAGTGCAAAGGTGGAAAGTATGGTGCCTGCATAGGAAGACCTGGAGGAAACAACCTTCTGAGCTAGAGGCAAGTCAAGGCTATTAGGTGGGTGTGCAGAATGAGTGGGGGCACTGTCCTGGTATGTATGGTGTTTAAGTTGGTAGTGCTATGGTACACAGTCACTAAGCTCAAGCTGGGGCTCGAGGTTGCTGAGGGACTGAGTGTTCCACATGTATGTGGTATAGAAAGCACTCTTAGGTGTCCCCACACATATGTACTACAAACAACCATGTAATGGGAGAAAGCAAAATTAAATAACAGTACATTGGAAATTAATGGAACCAGGAACCAGGTTCCTGGACCAGGAAGAGAATCTTCCTGGTCTTCCAGTGTTCTTTAATGACAAGGTGTAATGTCATATTCAATGTGAAAAATTTTAGAGTGCAATGCATTATCACAGAGCAGGTACTGAAGGGTGAATTTGGAGCTGAGTTGTACTGCACTATAATGATAGTTGTATTGTTATTCTCTTTTATTGATGAGTCATTTGTCTCTTTGTCTTTCATCAGTTTGACCATGATGTGTCTAAGTGTGGAATCTTTGTGTTTATCTTTCTCTGGATTTATTGAACTTCTTGATTCTGTAGATTAATTATTTAATGAAATTTGGGGAGTTTTAGGCTCTTATTTCTTCAAATAGTCTTTCTTGCCCTTTTTTTTCCCTCATCTCCTCTGGGATCTCATTTCACATATGTTGGTATGCTTGATAATAACCTAAAGGTGTGTGCAATTCTGTTCATTTTTCTTCAGTCTTTTTTCTCTTCTTTTTAGATTGGATAATTTTATTTAAAGGATCTTTTTTTTAAATAATCTTTACACCCAACATGGGGCTCGAACTTACAACCCTGAAATCAAGAGTCGCATGTTCTACCGACTGAGCCTGCTAGGCACCCAAAGATTGGATAATTTCTATTGAGCTGTCTTCAAGTTCTCTTGATTCAGCTGTCATCTCAAAGCTGGCATTGCCCATCTAGTGATTTTATTTGTTTATTTTGTTTACTGTACTTTTTAACTCTAGACTTTCCATTTGGTTTGTTTGTATGTTTGAGTCTGTTTCCTTACGAGATTCTTCTCTTTTGGTAGTTGTTATCATTTTACTTATTTTTTATTTTTACTTTTTTTAAGATTTATTTATTTATTTATTTGAGGTATAAATAAATATAGAAACAGGAAGCCTGCTTCTCCCTGTGCTTGAGAGAGAGAGGGAGTCAGATGGGGAGAGGGGCAGAGGGAATCTTCAAGCGGACTCCCTGGTGAGTGTGGAGCCGAATGCGGGCTTGATCCCACCACCCATGAGATCATGACCTGAGCCAAAACCAAGTCAGATGCTTAACCGACTGAACCACTTAGGCACCCCTCATATTTTACTTTAATTATTTAAAATGGTTTTCTTTAATTCTTTTTTTTTTTTAAGATTTTGTTTTTTATTTGAGAGAGAGAGAGAGAGAGCACACATGCATGAGTGGGGAAAGGGACAGAGGGAGAGAGAGAGAAGCAGACTCCCTGCTGAGTGTGGAGCCTGACTCAGGTCTCAGTCTCAGGATCCTGAGATCACGACCTGTACTGAAATCAAGAGTTGGAGGCTTAACCCACTGAACCACCAAGGTGTCCCTTTAATTTTTTGAACATATGTATAGTAGCAACTTTGAAGTCTGCTAAATCCAACTCAAAGTCAATTTCTGTTGACTGCTTTTTCATCCTGACTAGACTCACACTCCTGTTTCTTCATGTATTATAATATTTTATGGAAAAGTGGACATTTTAGATAATGTATTTTAGCAACTCTGGATTTGGATTTTCTTCTTGTGGGCTTTTTTTTTTCTTTCTTTTCCTTTTCTAACTTGCCTGTACTTAAGCTGCAGAATCTATGTCCCCTGTGATGTGTAGCCTCTGATTTCTCTGCTTAGCTTTCTTTTTTTTTTTTTAATTTTAATTTAAATTTTTTATTTTGGCTTCCTTACCCCTGTGTCTGCATAGTTTAGTGGTTAGCCGATGACTGGTCAAAGCTTTTGCTCAAATGCTAGAGCCTGAAAGGCTTGTGCCTTCTGTCAATAGATAAGTGCATGAGTTGGAGAGTGCTTTCAAAATTTAGGCCATTTTCAACTCTGCCTTGGCTTTTATTTTCTGTAGCCTTCTTGCATCGTCCATGTATGCTTGCTGCCATTCCCGTCTGTGATGTGTAGAGAGCTTGGGCCTTCTATCCCCTCCCCTCCATGTGCATGCAGTCTCCCAGTCAGCTGGGGTTGTGAGGAGAGCTTATCCAGTCCCTCTATGGTTCTCTCATTTCCAGATCTCCTGGTTAAATTTATGGCTCATCCACTGATTTTTACTCACTCCAGCCACAACTGCAACCTCAGGCTAGAGAGCTGTGCGATTTCTCCAGTTTCCTACCAAGTTTATTCACTTTACTGCAAACACTGCTGGGTATGGGCTTTTGCCCTCTGCCTCAAATCAAATCTGTCCTTTCTGACAGCAAAGCTACTGGCTCTCACAGCCAGCCTCACCCTGGCAGGACTACTGCAGAGAGCAAGATATGAACAACCCCAGCGAGTAAGGCTGCTGTCTCCTCCTTTCTCATCTAAGTTCTACTAGCTGTTACAAATCAATGCTTCTGGGTGGCTCAGTTGGTTAAGCGACTGCCTTCGGCTCGGGTCATGATCCTGGAGTCCCGGGATCAAGTCCCACATCAGGCTCCCTGCTCGGCAGGGAGTCTGCTTCTCCCTCTGACCCTCTTTCCTCCCGTGCTCTCTATCTCTCATTCTCTCTCTCTCAAATAAATAAATAAAAAATCTTTAAAAAAAAAATGCTTCTCAATTTATTTGCCTTTGGTCCATTTTCAGATCCTCAAAATGGTTGTTCTTGACATTGTTTTCCAGTTTTATTATAGTTTTATGGGGAGAAGATTTTCTGACCTGATCACACTCCCATAACTGGAAGCCCCATATTTCAAATCATTTGAAAATTTTACCTTATTTGGCATTTAGTATTAGTGTTGAGATTGTCGTAGTGTAGTATATACTGTCAGGATGTCCCAGTGATATCTGTTTAGGATTTTAACTTCTTAATCTAAGCAGTATAAATTAGATTAAGCTTTTAATATTAATTATGACATAATGTGCTTAGATACAGTCTTCTCAAACATTTTGTTTAGGAAATTGTGATGTGATGACCCCAATGGTTGATATACTTATGAAACTTTTTCGAAATATGGTGAATGTGAAGATGCCGTTTCATCTTACCCTTTTAAGTGTGTGCCTCTGCAACCTTAAAGCATTAAATACTGCTAAGAAAGGAACTATTGATTATTATTTAACACCATCATTATCAACAACTTCACGGTCTGGCAAGCGCAGTTTTGTAAGTACACTCTTGTTGGATTTATGTGGTTAAATTACAAATCTAAGTTTGTGTTTCATTGATATAATTTAGAGAGTCTTTTGGATGATATTGTTTGAATGACTTACTTGTGTATATAACCTCTCATATTGTGGTTGCTAGCCACAAGTGTACTGTACTGTGATCTAAGAAGAAAACAAGCATCACTGGATAAAAGAGAAAACCATTATGGAGGTTCCTTTTTTGGAGGTGTTAAAGCATTTTATAGCAACAGGAATATGATGATTAGCTAATAAATATGAAAATATTTCTAGATACTGGAAATAAAATCTTTTTGTCTATTAATTTATATATAAGCTACCAGCATCCCCCCAATGTTTTTGTTAAAGTATTTAAATTTTCGGGGCGCCTGGGTGGCTCAGTCGGTTAAGCGTCTGCCTTTGGCTCAGGTCATGGTCCCAGGGTCCTGGGATCGAGCCCCGCATCACGCTCCTTGCTCAGCAGGAAGCCTGCTTCTCCCTCTGCCTGCTGCTCCCCCTGCTTGTGCGCTCTTGCTCTGTCGAATAAATAAATAAAATCTAAAAAAACAAAAAAAGTAAATTTTCTTGGTTTTGAAATTACATTGAATTTTGATAAGATTGATATATGATTACTCATTCTACAATTGTAGAAATTAAGAGTGTGGCAGTAAAGAAGCAGAGGCCGGTCATATTTCCAAGTGACTAAAACAAAACCTTATATTTATGGCCATCTAGCAAAACTCTAGTTACTAAATATGGGATGCTGTAAAAAAATAATCATATTTTAGGGCGCCTGGGTGGCTCAGATGGTTAAGCGTCTGCCTTCGGCTCAGGTCATGATCCCAGAGTCCTGGGATCGAGTCCCACATCGGGCTCCCTGCTCAGTGGGGAGCCTGCTTCTCCCTCTGCCTCTCTTTCTCTATCTCTCTCTGTCTCTCATGAATAAATAAATAAAATCTTTAAAAAAAAAATCATATTTTACTAAATTGTGCTTGCCTACAATTAACTCTTAATTCAAAATGTTTTTATTATTTTCTTTGTTTTAATGTTTAATCAGTATAATTTCAGTAATATTTTCATTTACATTTCAGTTTAAAATGAGAACAGGATCCTGTTACAGAAATAGTGAATCAGTGCCCTCTTCAAATTACTTTTTTTCCTGTGGCCCTTTTTATTCCCTTTATTAACTGAAATTTAAAAAGGAGTTTACTTTTTACCTCTTATTTGGTAGAATCAGAATTATAAGTCTTTATAGTGGTATTAGAGAGGTAAACATAAGCGAAAGTACCTTGTACATGTCTGGCATACAGTAAATATAGTGTCCCAGATCTCGTCTCCTTTTACTTTTTTTTGTAGTTACTGTTGTGTTGATGTTTCCTGAGTTATATTTGATTGTGTATACATTTTCATGGTGCTTAAAACTAGAGGGAAAATTTAAGTGAAAAATTTACATAGAGGGTGCCTGGGTGGCTCAGTTGGTTAAGTGACTGCCTTTGGCTCAGGTCATGATCCTGGAGTCCCAGGATCGAGTCCCGCATCTGGCTCCCTGCTCGGCAGGGAGTCTGCCTCTCCCTCTGACCTTCTTCCCTCTCATGTTCTCTCTCTACCATTCTCTCTCTCTCTCAATAAAAATAAATAAAAATCTTTAAAAAAAATTTACATAGAAAAATTATGCAAATTAGAACTGAAGGTGTTTTTAAATTTTTATTTTATGTAGATATAAACAATATTACATCTTCATTTTGATGTTGAGATTTTACCATAGAAATATATTTTTTTCTTTCTGTTAAATGTTACAGTTCAGAATAGGGATTTTGAGAAAACCAGCCCTTGATGCTCTAACATATATATATTTTTTAGATACCCGTAGGTGAATCATTTACTTTTCTAGGCTACCATTCCTTTATTCACAGAACTGTAAATTTGAAAACACAATTGCTAAGGTACTTTCTGAGTTTCCAAACACTTATCTATCTTCTGGCTCAGTGCTATCTAGGAAGGAAATCTCTCCCTAGAATAGTGAATAAAGATGCACACAATAGTGTGACTAATTGTGGTGGGTTTATCATCTCTAGTTGTTTGGAACTGACCAAAAGGAATGAAATTATTGAGTAGGTTAGAAACGTGTTGGTCAGATAATGGCTATAATACTCTTCAGCAGCATGAATATTTAAAAGTAGCAGATATCTTAAATTACTCTGTTATTCTTGTGTTCTAGAAAATGAAAGACAGTCATATGGAGGATTTTTCCAAAGACAAAGAAACAAATTGGGATTTTCTACCATCTGGAAGAATTGAAAGTACAAGAACTGGGGAGGCTCCACTAGATACTAATTTTTCTAAAGACAAAGACAGTGATGAATTCCCACTCTGCTCACTTCCTGAAGGTATTGACCAAGAAGTCTTTAAGCAGCTTCCAGTAGATATTCAAGAAGAAATCCTTTCTGGAAAATCTGGAGAAAAAGTTCAAGGCAAAGGAAGTTTGAGTTGTCCATTACATGCCTCTAGAGGAGTATTATCTTTCTTTTCTCCAAAACAAATGCAAGATAGTCCCTTAAATCCTACAGATCATTTACCCAATAGTAAACAGATATCATCTGTGTCTCCCTGTGAACCAGGAACATCAGGTTTAAATAGCGGTAGTTCCTCTTCGTCTAGCCAAAAGGATTATTCACATTATGTAGACAGTAGATTAAAAGATGAACGAATGAGTCAAGGACCTAAACAATCTCAAGGATTTCATTTTTCAAATACAAAGCCTGCCGTATCTATTTTCCATTCATTTCCAAATTTGCAGAGTGAGCGACTGTTCTCCAAAAACTGCACTACAGATAACCATAAGGAATCAACAGTGACAGTCTCTCGTCATGAAAGACTTACAGAAAATAAAGAGCAAGATTCTAGTGATGAGAAAATTACTTTTCCTTCTGACATTGATCCTGAAGTTTTCTATGAACTACCAGAAGAGGTACAAAAAGAGCTGTTGGCCGACTGGAAGAGAGCAGGGTCAGATTTGCCCACTGTGCAGAAATAAGCATGTTCAGAAGAAAGGTCTAGAAAGCAAAGGAAAAGCCATTGTTCTCAGATTTAGCAGTTTATTAAGCTCCTCTAAATTAAACACTAATAGATATTCAATAATGTAGAAATCCAATATAAAATGTTCTCGATAAAAGCAAGTGTAGTTATGGGAAGTAAATTCTGGCACAAAGCATAAAAATATTCATAACAGAAGAAATAATGTAAAATTATCTTATTTCTAAAGCTATTTTGTATTGCTTTTCAATAAAAAGAATATCATGGTTAGTATTAGTACATTTCCCATAAATTGGGGAGGGGGGGAAGGGGGAGAGATATACACCTATGTGTAAAAAAATAGACTAGCCAAATCATTGCTATGACATAGCAAAGAAGAATTTTTTTTCTGTGAAATATGGAATGGCTCAAGAAATTCAGCCCATTAGGAAACTTCCAAATAAGAAATTCTACTGCCAACTACTAAATATTCAGATATCTTTGACTGATGTACTATGTACCATGTAATAAGATGATTTTTAAATACCGAAGCAATGTATATCCAGTTCATGCTTCTGAGTACACGAGAATCTACTACAGTGCCTACATAGAAGGCACTCAGTAAATAATGAATGGCGTGGCAGGGGCCAGGTGGGAAGTTGAGCAGGGGAGTGTACATGTTGTAGAAAACTAGAAGGAACTCTCCATCCAGGTAGATTAAGGGAAGGATGGACACCAGAAAGGCAATGTGATAGATTTTTAAGAATGCTAGGTAATGGAAGAAGTCCATTTCCTTCTGGCTCATCTGTGTAGGGTTTTAAACTAATGATTAGATGTTTTTGCATCTTCTTATTTTTGGAGATGAGATTAAGGATGTCATATCCACAACAAATATGCACAATTACTAAATCGATAGGTGTTCTCTTTTTCCCATTGTTAATTGCCTTCCCCTTTTGCCTGCAAGATTAAAAATTGGGTATAAGATTGTGGACATCTTATAATTTGCAAGACATAAGTTTCTAGAACACATCAAAGTATACCTCAGCACTGATTCGGAAGAGTCCTGTTCTTGAGTTTATGACCTTTGCAGATATAATCTAAAGAAAAAATGATAAAAATAAAATATACAAATGTGAATAAAGAGTAACAGAAAGATACTTTCTTTTAGGTAAGAAGTTTTAACTTAGTTTTAGATTTTTTGAAATTTGAAAATTTCCTAACCAAGGATTTTTAACAGGGAGTTTGGGGTTATCAAAAACAATAACTTAGAGCAAGAACCTCAAAAGTTATTCATATGCAAATATTTAGTATTCTGGATCAAGGACTATGGAATTTTCTACATGTAGTATACTGGTAAGATTGTTAACCTGATAAAAAGAATATATTACTTTTTTAGATAATACATTAAAAATTTTTTTTCTAATAATCCTTGTATTATTTTAGCCAGAAATTATTAAGCAACTAAAAAGGTTTAAAAAAAAAAAAGGTTAAGAGTAAAACAGTTTTGGCCAGTTTAAAAAGAATAAAATAGTTGTTAAAGTACACTTTCTGAAGTGAGAATGCTGTGGGTATTATCGAAGCATTGTTACTCATTCTGTGGCTTTAAGTTAGCCTTTCAACATCTTAGTGCCTCTGCATTCTGACTTTCTGTTTATCTTTTATTTCCATCTCCTTTTAATCCTTGTTTTTGTTTTTCCTTTGGTGTTCTACAGATTTACTATAATGTTTGGAGATGTGAATTTCCTTTTTATCCTCAATATATGCTGGCTTCCCATTTCTTTCAATTTGTGTTAGTTCTGTAAAACATTTGGCCACTAGTTCTTCAAATATTGCTTTTCTATTCTTTTAGGACTCTGCACAAATTATGGACTTTTTTATTCCATCCTTCATGTCCCTTAATCTCATAGTTTTTGTCATCTTGTTTATCTGCTGCATTTTGGTTATTTTCATCAGCTCTGTCTCTTGTTCATTAATTTGTTTTTCAGCATTGTCTGATCGACTGTTTAAAACACTAATGATGGTTTTAATTTTAATAATTATATTTTTCATTTGATTCTTTTTCTAATCTTCCCATTTATTCATTATAGCCTTTTATAAGTCCGTTTCTAATTTTTAAAAACTCATAAATATTTTATATTCTATTTTTGATCATTTCAATATTTTAATTCTTTATAAGTAAGTTTTTGGATATTGTCATGTACCTGTCGATTAGCCTGTTTCCTTGAGTGTGTAGCTGAGTTTAGTCTGTGGGAAGACAAAGGACCAAAATTGTGCATGCTTCCCTTCAGATATGATTTGCATTTGCTTCCAGTGAGTCAGTACGAACCCATTTGGTATCACTGTAGCCCCCTGAAGGGTCCTTCATGAATGCAGTTGTCTTAGTTTGTCTTATTTTCAGCTCCCTGACCTTGCTACTGTCCCAAGGTTTTGTGTCCAAAGGTGGTTTGCAGGCATTTGCTGTCAGGGTGAACCCCACCTTTCAAGAAAGTTTGCTTTTTGCATGATGCTTCCTGATCCTTTCCTGCTTTTGTTTCAGCTCAGTTTTTTCCCCCTGTGATTGTAGGGGATTTGGGCCTGGAGATTTCCCTTATATAGTTCAACCGACAATGAATTAAAAAATCTGTTTTCTACAGAATCTAGTATTTTGTATTGAAGGAACTCTTAAGAGTATTTGTCCCTCCATAGTGCAGAAGTGCAAATCTATTTGGATTTATTTTTTCCATATTATTTGTGCTTTCTGTTTTTCTCTTTTTCTATGCTATGCTTCTTTCCCATCTTTTTTCTCATCTTGTTTTTGTATTACTTGAATTTTTAAAATACATTTTCCTTTGATTTGAAATGTAAACATTCTAAGTATTCTTGATTACCCTTAGACATTAAACATGCCTAACATCCAAAAATGGTAAATATATGTACCTTCTTCCAAACAACATAAAGATGTTAAAATATGTTAAACTTTTTTTAAAGATTTTATTTATTTGAGAGAGAGAGAGAGAGCGCACATGAGAGGGGGGAGGGTCAGAGGGAGAAGCAGACTCCCCGCGCAGCAGGGAGCCCGATGCAGGACTCGATCCTGGGACTCCAGGATCATGACCTGAGCCGAAGGCAGTCGCTTAACCAACTGAGCCACCCAGGCGCCCTAAAATATGTTAATTTTAATTCCTCTAGTTCTTTATTAACCTCCAAATTGGATATTATTAGTATTTTATAGAGTTAATGTTTAGATTTATGAGCATGATTATCTTTTTTTCCCGCTCACCTTTTTTACTTGCATCTCATACATCCATTCCTTCGAAGTAGAATTCACTTTCTGAAATTATGTCTTTAAAACTGTGGATTTTGAGCTGACTTCTTTGGACTGTTTTAAGATATTCCCTTTTATCTTTGGAGATCTGCAATTTTTATTATATGTCTAGCTACAGACTTCTTTTTATCATGGTTGGGATTTAGATGTTTCCTGAATCTGCAGGTGTATGCCTTCATCAAATCTGGATTAATTTCAATATTTAAAAATATTTTTTGTGAAATTTATATGCAGAAAAGTGCATAAGTAAGTTAATGGATAATTATAAGCAACAACTATGTAACTCGGTCAAGAAATAAAACATATCAAGTGATCAGGAAAGTCCAGAGGTTTTTTTGTTTGTTTTTGGTTATGTAACAACTCAAGGGATTCACTGTTGGGGGGTTGAACATCACATTGAACACAACCCAAGGAAATGTTGAAAGCAAAGAACTTTTTATTGCTTGTTACAAGTAAGAAGACAGGAAGGTAGCTCCCCAAGAACTGTCTCACCATGCGGTTAGTGCGGGAAGCTCTTATTCAGGGTGAAGGTGGGAGCAGGGAGCTTGCACAGGCACTTCGGTTCAATTGCTCATGCCTAGCCTGTCGGGCTAGTGCATACATCGTATGTTCAAAAAATGGCAGAAAACTCCACCCATAGAAGGAGATCTTAGTAGTATAATGAGCTAAATGTAACTTTAGGACAACTCAGGGGGCCTTCTGCCCTGGTCCTCAGCTCCAGTCCAGCTCAAACTAGCTCAGATATGGGGCTCTCAGGTGAGACACACCTAGCAAGGGGCTATCAGGTGAAACAGTTGAGCTTCTACTTGGCTGGAACTGTTGGTTCTGCAAAATAAAATACATTCCTTCCCTGCTTTTGTCCCTTCCCCCACCTCCCTTCTGCTGAGAGCTTTCAGCTCTCTTTGAGTAACTTTCCGTTGCATCCTAGGTAACAGTTGTTTTTAAATTTAGATATAATTGACATACTATCTCAGGGGTACAATATAATCATTCGATATTTGTATATATTGTAAAATGATCACCACAGTAAGTCTAGGATCTGTCACCATTCTTAGTTACAAAAATTTTTTTCCCTTGTGATGAGAACTTTTAAAGATCTAAGGAAGTCCAGAGTTTTTCTTAGGGTATCATCATGTTGGGAGGGTTTAGTAAATCATTGACCTTGTGGTTAAACTCAGTCTCCAATTCCCCAGGGCTCCTACCCTCCCAGGATGTCAGGATGGCTCAAAGTTTCAACATTCTAATCATGTGGTGGTCTTTTTGGTGTGGGCTCTTGCCATCCTAAGCCTTCCTGTTGGCATAAACTAGGCCCCCACATCCCCCCCCGCCCCATGAGTCACCTCATTAGCATATACCATGATGAATAAAAAACACACATTGGGAAATTCTAAGGGTTTTAGGAGCTCCATGCCAGGACAAAGACCAGATAAATTCTGTAGAATATTTTGAAATAAGTCTTGAGATATTTTATGACCCCAAATGTGCCCTATCTTAGTAAATGTAATGTGTGTACTTGAATGTGTGTTTTGCCGTTGGATGGAATATTATATAAATGTCAATTAGCTTTATTTAGTTAGTGTTCAAGTCTTCTGTACCCTTACTGATATTTTTGTATATTAATTATTGAGAGGAGAGTATTCAAATCTCCAACTATGATTATAAATGTATCTTTTTCTCTTTGCAGTTTTTTATCAAGTTTTGTTTCATGTTATTTGAAGACACATTCAGGGCTATTATGTTTTGTGGAATTGGCCCCTTTTCATTCTGAAATGACCTGCTCTGAAAACCAGTTTCTTCATAAGAGCCACTATAGCTTTTGTAAAAAGTAATGTTAGACTAGTATCTTCCCCCATCCTTTTAACCTATTTGTATGTTTATGTAAAAAATGATGTTTTGGGGGGGTTATACAACAAATAGTTGGGTCTTGCTTTTTCACTCAGTCTGATATCTTTGCCTTTTAATTGAGGTTTTTGACCATTCATATTAA